ATTTATATATTTTTTTTTTTTTTTTACATTTTTTTTCTTTTTCTCATCTTTAGGTATTGATTCTGACATAATTGATGAAGCCATCTACTTCTTCAAGGCCAATGTCTTCTTTAAGAACTATGAAATCAAGGTAAGAGCACAAAATGTCTGWAGAAAAATGAACATTTGTGCAAAACTCACAATGTTGTCTTGATCTTTAGATTAAAAAGGTGCTTAAAATATACAGTTGTAAAATATGAACATGGATCATGTAATTGTAAAATCTGACCCAAGTCATGATCAACAACAACAAATAAACAACTTTTTTTAATGCACTTGATTTTATGCTTGTTCTCTTTCCTCCCTCTTTCTCTGCATGTCCTGACTTCCTTCTTCCCATTCCTCTTAACACAATTCTGTCATAGTTGCTGTGTAAATAAATATATTTTTTTCCTTTTCAGAATCACAATYTCAGTTTTGAAGATAAAATGTACATATATTTCAAAGAACGAATGTGTTTCTTTCAGAATGAGGCAGACAGAACACTGATCTATGTCACACTGTACATTTCTGAATGTCTGAAGAAGCTACAGAAGGTACATTTAATACATTGTTTTAACTGAAGTGTTAACAATTGTGAGGCAGCATTTAATCTGTGTGTATTAAAGMAAMAATCATGTCTCAATTAAAAGATGAGGAGACACAAAGGGCTCAGCAGATGCAGCTTGTTATCTGACACTGGTTGTGGGYTTATGTTTTCGTCTTTACAGTGCAGCTCCAGGGGCCAGGGAGAGAAGGAGATGTACACTCTGGGTATTACGAACTTCCCCATTCCTGGAGAACCTGGCTTCCCTCTTAATGCTATGTATGTAAAGCCCACAAACAAGCAGGAGGAAGGTGAGATTCAGGAGAAGTAGTTCAAACTTTCTCTTTTAAAGTGCCAACTCTATTGTTAAAGTCAGAATTCACACTTGTGCAATAAATCCTACTTATTTCTACTAAAATACAATTTAAGCCATAGACAAAATCACTAATCATGAAAGAACCATGAATAAAAACATCCCAGTGTTAGTATTACTTTTACAGTAGCATCCCCATTAAATGGTTAAACATTAATTTGTATTTTTTGTGTTAATATGCATTTCTTTTTTTGTTGCAGAGACCATGAGGGCGTACCTGCAGCAGCTCCGGCAYGAGACTGGTTTAAGACTTTGTGATCGTGTGTTTGATCCCCAGACCGACAAACCCAGCAAGGTAAGTCT